TACTAACCTAACGTTATTTACCCTACTATCACTCCACACGTGCACTCCATATTTGTTACCTGCTGGTAGATCCACTCACTACCTAACTCTCCTACTATATATATATATATATATATATATATATAATTTATGAACATCTTTCTCAGTACGGCAATAGAACAGAAAATTAATTCTCACAATACGTTGGTGAAACAAAGCTCACACCGAAGCATATATGCAGAGATGCAGTTTTCGTCCTTAATTTCTGTCAAAAGATTAATTATGTGTTTCCTGTAATGGTCTACAGATGGCGGTAAAGTAGTCGGCTGTTAATCATGTCTCTTACGCAATTTGAAGTGGGTGTTGTGTAGAGAGTATTTATCTTGAAGACAAAGGAAAACGCTAGAATATTTTTATCAGAATTAAACGATTTCACGCAAAATATAAAACGTTTTTTCAAGAAATGACTGAACCTCAAATACTACATTTATACAACGAAAGCAAGTGATGTAAAGATAAAGTAACTGTCTACCTAGAAACAGAATAGTGATATGAACACAGCAATAGTAAGGAACATCTTTCTAGGTTATCTAAAGAAGAGTTGAGATGTATTAATGAATTTAAGGTTAAACTTTAAAATTAACAAGAATAATGACTGTGACGTTTAAATACACAGAGAAGTGTTAATTTTTCGCAAACTTTCAGAGTACGTTAAACAAGGTTCACATTAATACAATTTATGTAGAAGTTGCGTCATTTTTTCTTTGTACTCACAGAAAACATTATAGCAGATTAGGAGTCAGGCAGAACCGATACTTTTAGGAGCTGAGCAGGAAATGCATGGTTTCAGATAATATGACCCTTCAAGCTTGTTTAGGGTTAGTAAACATTCTTAAGCTTATACAAGTTTAGAGTTAGTAAACATTGTTCATCTTGTAGAGGTGTAGATTTAAGGTTAGTAAACATTCTTCATCTTGTAGGGACTAATGGTTGGTAAGGGTAATAAACATATTTCATGATGTAAGGATTTAGTGTTAGTGAATATTTTTCAACTTGTAGGGGTTTAGTGTTACTGGACGTTCGTTATCTTGTAGGGATTTAGTGTTAGTGAATATTTTTCGTCTTGTAGGGATTTAGTATTGGTGAATATTTTTCAACTTGTAGAGGTTTAGTGTTACTGAACATTCGTTATCTTGTAGGGATTTAGTGTTAGTGAATATTTTTCAACTTGTAGGGTTTAGTGTTACTGAACGTTCGTTATCTTGTAGGGATTTAGTGTTAGTGAATATTTTTCGTCGTGTAGGGTTTAGTGTTACTGAACGTTCGTTATTTTGTAGAGATTTAGTGTTAGTGAATATTTTTCAACTTGTAGGGGTTTAGTAGAACTGAACATTCGTTATCTTGTAGGGATTTAGTGTCAGTGAATATTTTTCAACTTGTAGGGATTTAATATTATTGAACGTTCGTTATCTTGTAGATGGTTTATGGCAATGACTATTCTTTACCCTCTGGGGTTTTAGGATTCGTAAACGTTCGTTATCTTGTAGATGGTTTATGGCAATGACTATTCTTTACCCTCTGGGGTTTTAGGATTCGTAAACGTTCTTCATAATATAGGGGTTTAGGGTTAGTAGAGGTTTAGTGTTACCAACCTTCCTTCATTTCTTGGATTTTTAGGGTTAGCAAACATTCTTTACTTTGTACAGGTTTCAGTCACAACTAAGTGTAAGAAATTATATGTTTTAAACTGCAGACGATTAAGTAATAGGAAATAAAATCATTAAGCATCTTCAATAATTAAAAGAGTGTAAGTTTTCTACTAGCTTCACTTAGTAGAAGCATGGTGACTGATAACATTATTGCACTATAACAGAAACATTCTTCAAAAAAATCTAGCGTACGTCAAATTAAGTAGGGATGGGAAAGAATGTAAAAGCAAAACTATCTTTCTTATTAATCGAAGCTCCTTCTACTTATTGCCTGTCAACCAGTTACAACACCCACTAATCTTAGTACCTTAGTGATTTCCAAATGTCAACCGGGATCGAACCAAGTTTTGTAGCGCTATAAGCCCTTTAGTTTACATCTGACCCACTGGAGTGTAAAATGAAGAGGTTTGTCTTATACTCAACAGTTTTCAATACACCTTTTCTGTTAGAGGAAGAGAGGTCAATAATTACATTGAATGTTTACTGTATATTTTAAAATACAATCTGATCTGGCGAACGCATCATGATAAATATATCAGTGTCAGCAGAAATAATTCAGAATTATCGTACACGTAGCTATATAACGTCTTTGTTAATGATGCTCTTCAGTTGCAAGACTATATATTAAAACTCTGCTGATAAATATTTTATCCATGTGTCAGTCACCGAGTATTAATATTTATGTTTATCGTGTCTGTATAAAAAAAACTTAAATTACAAACTCGCATCTCTGGTCTTTTTCTTTATGTTAAACGTCTACAGATGATGATTTTGTGGCTGATGAGCAATAAAAAACAAATACTTCATTCTTTGTGTCTGTATTACAAGTACTTGCATATAATCATTTCTACCTTTAACACAAGCACTTAGAAATGAACATTTCTGTGCACTACGGCTTTATGACATGCACTTACAGGTCAACATTTCTGCACACTACGGCTTTATGACATGCACTTACAGGTCAACATTTCTGTGCACTACGGTTTTATGACATGCACTTACAGGTCAACATTTCTGTGCACTACGGTTTTATGACAGGTACTTACAGTTGACCATTTCTGTGCACTATGACCTTATGACAAGCACTTACAGATAAACATTTCTGTGCACTATGGCCTTATGACAAGCACTTACAGATAAACATTTCTGTGCACTATGGCCTTATGACAAGCACTTACATATCAACATTTCTGTGTACTATGGCTTTAAGACAAGCACTTACAGGTGAAAATTTCTATGCACTATTTTGTGTACTATGGCTTTATGACAAGCACTTACAGGTGAAAATTTATGTGTGCTGTGCCTTTATGGCAAACACTTACAGATCAACATATCTGTGCTCTATGGCCTTATAATAAAAACATATAGACAATTATATCTGTGTGCTGTGCCTTTGTGGCAAACACTTACAGACGAACTTTTTCATGCCTTTATGACAAACCAAGAACTTACAAAAAAATTATTTTGATTGTTCTGTTTTTAGGTCTGATACTTACGGATAAATATTTATGTTTTTTAACGTCTACGTGTCAACTGTCGATAGAAAATCAGATATTTGTTCATTAAACACTTAAAGCTTCTTTCATTTTTTGTAATTGTACACGTTTATTGAAACACCTATTGGTAAATTCTAAGTGAAAAATCTAGTATCTAGTTACTTAATATACTGAAGAGACAGTAACTGTTTTATGTTACATTCTGGCTTATCGGTAATAAGCTTTAAGCCAGTGAGACAGCCACAAACTGAGTTAATCACTAATTTTCCTTTAGGAAATGTTTGTTTTGTGTTAATTTTCTTTGTCTCGTCTGTATTGAAAATATTTCTTGTAATGTCACACGAATAATTACTTCGGTTTTTCTTTTGTTTCGTGAATAGATTAAATAGGATCAATTAACGGGGCTTAAGAATGTTTGTTTAGAAATAAAAGATCAATGAAAAACATAGGTGGAAAGTAAAACAGTAGTCTCCTGAATCATCTTAATTTCTTTCTTTAAATATAATTAGGATCGGTGTTTTGTAAGTATAAGAAACAGTACACGCGCCTATATTTCCTGCTCATCACCTAAGTTCGAGAATTACAATACTCTCCTGCACAAGAGTTATATTATTCTCTCCTTTTCGCTCCTAGAAGCGTGAAGAAAGACACCCGAGTTCGACGTGAGTCTCCTTTGGCCCGTCGAGGGCCTAACCCTAATTGTCAGATGTTCGGATCAGAAGAGCTAGTCCCTCCACTTCTAGGGGGCATACCACCAGTTGCATCTCCATATCCACATTCATCAGGATCTCCATGGTAAGAGGAGGCACTTCTGGACCAACTGGAAGACCCTCTGAATTCGAGGTTAAACTGAAAGTATAAAGAAGTGAATTAGGTACAGAATACCCGTGTTGTTCTTTATTCTTTACCAACAGAGAATGAATTACTTACAATAATAAAATACTTATAACTCTAACATTAAGGTTTCTATGAAACCTAATATCGTTAAACATTGATAAGCATGAAATACCGATACACGAGCGACACCTAGAAAATGAGAATTCACACCCTTTATAACAAAATTATATTATCAGACAGGTGGTAGCACTGCTTATGTAGGGATGGCTCGGATTGTTAATCGAAATGGCATTTTATATATCTCATAAACAGATCATAAGAACTGTGCAATACTATAGAATGTTTCATTTCATAACAGTATCTAAATAATGATTGAGTCACAAGTTCTAGGAATGTTTTTAACTATCATAGCAAAAAAGTTTGAATTTCTTCTAGCATCTTTTTTTAATACATGATAACTCAAAAACCAAAACAATGATGTCAACCAATTTCACTGAGAGGATAAGGCTTCAAACGGAGTATCCGCTTTTATAAGTATTACTATGACGGGGAATGTATTATCACCCCACCCCTACACCATTTTTTTTTATTCCTGTAAATTCCCAGTGGTGCATAGGGCCGCAACAACACCTCGCCAACGGAAGGTGTTGTTGCAGTTACTTGTAGTAGGTTGGTTTTTACGGGGTGGAGTTGCTAGCCCGGCGCCCAACCCTCCCCTTTCTCTTCCTGGACTTGGGACCAGGCAAAAGCGGAGGTTGGCATGTTTGGTGTGACGGGGATTCGAACCCGCAACCCTCAGATTACGAGTTCAGTGCCCTAACCACCTGGCCATGCCGGGCCACCCCTACACCATACTATACCATAACGTCACATTTCATTGCTAACTGAAATAAATAAATTATGGGAAAACAAGCTTGATCAACAAAGAAGCGGAAAAGTGCAGTCGAGGCAGTCAAACGTCGGTAAATTCGTTTATGAGCCAATAAAAATTAAGACCATTCATGAAATGAATTCATTGTATATTCATAGATTAATTATTGGTAAACATCAGTTAGCGTAACAACTACTAATATATAGAAAAGCCAGTGCGTTTTGGTAACATTACCTTCCAACAATGGCTTTTATGGCATGTTGCTTAACAACAAAATTATAACCTAATATTGTTGTTAATCTATGTACTGAAAGTATAAAATGAAACGTATAGACAACAAAACTGGCAAGATATTTGTTGATTTCTTAGTTTAGAGTCTTTATTGATTAAAGAGGTTTGTTGTTTATTAATAACGTTGGTGATATAACAGAAAATAGCTTAATTCAGAAACGATTTAAATTTAAAATTGAATCGATATTTTTACTTTCATGATAAATTTTATGCACTTGGCTCTAGGCTAGGTGATCCCAAACTACGTCTTTACTTTAGGCTAATTATACCAGCACGCACTACACTTATAAGGTTTCACGCCCCCACCCCTCAAGGCCCTCTCTCATCCTGTCACTACAATCGTAATGAGCAGGCAGTAATCGAACTATTGTATCTGGAGAAACACATTTTGGTTTTTATGATCTCTCCTAATTCGAGAAATCAAGCATGACGTGACACACACTGGCTTTTATATAGGTTAGATTAATAACGTGTAGTATTTAAAAAAAAATCATAATTCTAGTGTAAACGATGTTATCATTGAAGTTAGCTTTATTACAGAAATTTTGTCATTCTTTTTGAAGGATTGGTATTAGCCATCGCTACATTAATTTTTGTTTGAAAAGTTGTTCTTTAATTGTAATAATATAAAACCCACAGTTCAATTACGAACTATTAAATAGTAGTATGTTTTAAGAAGACACACTTCCTACAAGTGAGATTAACTGTAAATATTTTGAAGAGTTTTAAACAATTATATTTATTAAATTTTATAATAGTGCTGTAACTTTTTTTTGTTGGTGATTTTTTTCAAATTATCTGGTGAAAACGTTTCAACGTCCAGTCCATGTAACGATGATAATAAATTATTTTATTTCCTTCTTTAACGTTTCTACGAGATTGAACACTTGTACACTACAGATAATTGTTGTAGACCTACGTTAAATAATGTAAAACAAATCAACTTACTTGTACAATGAAGTAACTCGATAGAAACACAGATCCAAATACTACACTGACTGATTCAACTCTCTATCTTGAAAACAACTTTTCCTACTATCTCTTCGACTATATTTTTATTTAACTTATCGACGTTTCACTGAACGTCATATTCATAATCTACATATTTATAGGATTTGTCATGCGCTCTCCAGCTACCATGTGAGTTAGACAAACTGCAACATTATAAACAAAGTTCATAACAACACTATTCATAAAACTATGCTTAACTTTTCAACGCTCGGTGTGTCGATTCGATGCAACTGTTGTATGACTGTTTTTACTGAATGAAGTAGCTTGAAACTTCAAAAGCTTTTTGACAAATTATGTAGGCTTCTGCAAATAAAATATCTCATTTTTATACGTGACATTTGCATGAATTCGAAGTTTTCAAATTACGAAAAGATTTCATTGAAATGTTCTTAAGAAACAATTCAATTCGTTTAACTTTGTTGTAAGTTTCAACTATTGATTTTATATCATCCGATATTCTTCTAAGAATTACCTATAGAGTCTAATTTTATGAAACTAAAATTTTTATCTAATATGTATTTTATGTAATGAGTTTTAAAGAAACAAAACTTCCGCCACAGTTTAAGTCTTGATATTTTTTTAATTGCTTTATCATTCTATATTTCATTTGACATAAAATATTACATATGATAGAAAATTATATTTTGTGGAACAAGATGGCGTAGGCTTAGTTAAATCATTTTGCAATCGACAAGATCACCAAGCTAAGTTTTATCTCTATGGGAATCTCTGATGAAATGGAAGCCACATTGGCTTAACCCGTTAAAAAGAACAAAACAATTGCTTTAATTACATGTTTAGGTTACTAGTCTGTGACTTTTCGAATCTGAGATTTGACAGTTATATGAAACCACGTTAACCGAGGTCAAGGAACAGTGACTGGCTAAAAATAGAAAACAAATTACACTTGTATTAAATCTATAAGATTAAATCAAAGTTATTTTATTCAGAGTTATTTTGACTTTACTCCTAGAGGGCTACGAGTGCACTGTCATGCCCAGAAAAATACAGGAAATTCAAAAGCACTAATGATTTCAATCTTAGCGCGCTGATACCAACCCAAAGTTTGCTATAATTTAATTTTTTATGTATAACGTTAAATAAATATAAGTTTTTATGGAATACATTTCAACAATGATGTAATTTTAAGTGTGGAACGACGAATACAAGTATATTTTCCATAATTTGTTTGAAATCTTGCCCTCCATGCGAGATGCACCGCTAGATGATTCTGTTAAAACATTTTTAAAATCTTCAAACCCTACTTAAATGACTTCCATGCCATCTTTGAATTCACACCTTTACATACTTAGCAAGAGTGTGAACATTTACTTGTTCTAAATTTACACCTTTAAAGGTGTGAATTCTCACTCTGCCAATAAAAACGGGTGTTTATGTTAAAAATCCACCCCAACCACGTCTTTTTTTTTTGTAATTCCTTAGAGTGTAGCAACATTTTTAAATATGTTTAAATTCACATCAACATCCTTATTTGTTCATGGATCACTTTTTAAGACATGCAAGCTACAAAATATATATTCGAATGTGTACTAACTAAAGAAAATGAGTACGTTATATTAAAACAATCTGAATATCCTAATAATAAATTCACGTGACAAACACACCCAATATAAAGCCACTGTGGAAAGGAATATATTGGAATTACATTTTGGCATTGCTTGGCGTGGCGTAGGTAGTGTGATTCCAAAGAAAACTTATACGATTTGGAAGGGTAAGTAACAAAACTTTCAGGCGCAAAATATTCATACACTGTATTCAGATCAGAGATTTAGAATTTTCAAGACGTGTTGTGCCTTTACTTACTCACATTGGAAAATTGAGGAATCTGGATCAATTTGGCGGTTCGGAACCATTCACAAAGAAACCTGCAATATGTCGTACCCCAACCGTGGTAAGTAAAGTGTAACGTCTTGTAACAGCTGAGAATCTATGAACACAAAATTCACTGAAAAAACGGTCCACGTGCTCTAGGTAACAGTATGCAAAATAATCAAGAAAGGTCTTCGTCTGGAAAAGTGACACATGTCACGTGTGCACACTGTGCTTACATGACATTTTATTTTTGTTCAGTCGCATTCGTCATGTAAGAATGAAACGGGCATTCGTGCTATTTCGTACAACGCCTATGAATTTATATTGCAATTGAACTGTTGAAACGAGTACTGGGAAACCGCCGTGCTCGTATGTTAGGTGGCTGATGAAAAGCTACAGGGAAGAAGAGTGTGCTTTACACATGACATCCTTACGACAGAGATGCTTACAATGGAAAACTACGCTGCATGGCTATCGTCAAGATACACAGTATTCAGAACATGATCGGACAAGGCGACATAATGAAACAAGATGGTGGGGCTCCAAGATTGTTTTAATATAGCGTAATCAAAGTCTTATATTCAAGAAATATGAAATTTGCAATATTGTAAAAAAGGAAACCACCAGTGTTTATGTGTATGTAAACAAGTTATATCCCATTCTTTATTTGATATTACTTTTCTTAACAGTATTGATGAGAATGTTTAATATATATTTTTTTATTATTTTAAATTTTAATTATTATATATTTCTATTCTAGAAATTATTTTGCACTGTTAGCTTAATATATGGATTTAGATCTAACTTAAATTTTCTAAGCTGGTTTAACCTTGTCAGATATTATTGGGATTATGGCCAAAATGTTGCTAAAAGAGAGAGTACGCTTGTTAACATTGATAAAGAAAAAGTAACATTTTCACTGCCAAACAAAATTCAAACTGGTGTCGTAACAAACTGTTTTTCTAACTAATTTGAAATGTTAAGGAAGAGAGAGAAAGTCAGCTATTTTGAGAAAACAAGTAAACTTTTGAAATAGAGTTCGTATGTAAACTGAGTACAAGCTATTCGTACTTAAAAGAAAAGGAACATTATACTAACGTAAAAATATGTTGGCAAACAACGACTTATAGGCATCCTGAAGTGTTTTACTTTTGGAAGAACATATTACATGTTTCGAAAGAACATTGTTCCGTCTTGTTAGGAGTATGAAGAAGACAGACCAATGTCCTGTCGAAACACGCAACATATTATTATAAAAAACTGTTCATGTTGAAACACGTTCCCCAAAACAATATAGACAAGAATTGGTCCCTCATTACAATAAACTGTTCATGTTGAAATACGTTCCCCAAAACAATATAGACAAGAATTGGTCCCTCATTACAATAAACTGTTCATGTTGAAACACGTTCTACAAAACAATATAGACAAGAATTAGTCCCTCGTGTTTTTCATGCGACAGGACGAGGTTCTTTTCAATCTTAGCTTACATCTAGTATAGGCTGGCTGTTTGTTTTCTTGTTCTCTATATGTTACTGTAATAAGGGAAAAGATGAACACTGTGTGCTTTCGTGTTGTTGAAGTGTTGTAAGACTAAAGATACAACACACAATTAAGCAAAATAAATGATCAGTTGCATGATGTTTTAGGGACAATAGTTATAGGACCAGAATTATCTGCTATAGGAAGTAAACAAACAAGTAGAGGAGTCGCGAAAATTGTAGATTTGTAAGCATTTCTTCTTCATGCAGCTATATCAATAAACACACATAAAACAACATTATTTTCAATTCAAATATGGTAAATATGTAACATTTTTGTTTAGGGGTGGTGGGTAGGGACTTGTGTTCGGAAAGAACAAAATGAACTTACCTTTGATGCGCATACAAGGCTTGTAGTGACTACTTTAGAAACGACATTCATTAAGTTCTTCGTACCTTGAATCACGTTGTCTACCTGTGAAACAACAGTTTCGGAACGGACACAAATATTTTAATTCTTATTAAATGAACAAATAAATAAATAGATATAAAATATCAGCCATATGTCTGTTAAATAATACTTGTAAGAATGGGGACCATTTTTTCCAAAAGATATGTTGTTATATAATTACCATGAAAACAAGTACTTGCTTCGTAAGTAATATTAAGACATAATTGTATATTAATTACTGGATACCATTAAACGTGTATTAAATGTAATTGATATATCGATACATGTTTTCATTATAATACAGTAAATTTTTTACGACTGTTTCAAATCATTAATTCTAATTTCAATTAAGCTAATTGCAGTGAGTGACCCGTAAAGTGAGAACATACCCAATTTTGTAAATTTCAACTTATTTAAAGCTGATAAAAATAAGAAAATAAAGCGGAGTGTGGAAATGTGTTGTGTGAAAAATTATTGAAATAAAAATATTGCTTAAAAGTATTTCGTTCAATACTTCTGTGTTTCGAAGTTTGTGGCTCAAAATACAATAAATTGTGAACTTAAAGTGTAATCAGAGCAAGGAACTTCTGAGAAAAACACACAAACACGAAAGCTGTGTTATTCCATGACCTTCCGCACCCAAAACTTCAGCAGAAATAAATACAGGATATTATTGAAGAAAGAACTAGCATGGAGCTGCTCGAAAACAATTTCTACATGGAAAAGTTCTAATCAAAAACTAAATAATTGTTGTTTGCGAACATTGTCAAATCAAGCGTTTACACTTTCCAAAGGATTTCAAAAATTGGTAGAATAAATAAGACAATATGTTATGAACTAGCGAAATAAAGGCTGAAAAATGTAAGCAATTGTATGTGAGTAAAACTGTGAAACATGGTGAAAAGTTTACTACAGTGTGTAAATGATACTGTAAAACATGGTGAAAAGTTTACTACAGTGTGTAAATGATACTGTGAAATATGGTGAAAAGTTTACAACAATGTGTAAACGGAACTGTGAAACATGGTGAAAAGTTTACAACAGGGTGTAAATGATACTGTGAAACATGGTGAAACGTTTATAACAGTGTGTAAACGAAACTGTGAAATATTGTGGTGAGTTTACAATGGTGTTTAAGCGAAACTGTGAAACATGAGAAGGATTTTACAAAGGTTTAGTGTTGTTTTACTTCCGTAGATGTAGGAAATCTTGATAACTGATTAATTGATAAATTTATGGAGAAGACCCAGCATCAAAATATTCACTTTTGTCACTTAATACATACTGATAGACATTTAGTCAGTCGTGAACTCGAATATCAACACGAAAATAGTCCAGACATATAATATCAACACGAAACATATAATGTCCTTTTGATTAACATGTATTTATAGAAGCATGTAAAAGTTGGTGGTATATGTGTTATGTGGAAGCTAGCCCTAGTTGTAATACTAATCCAATAGACAATATGCGGCTTCAGTTAAAACGCAATGTTATATAATAAAAGAGAACGAATCAATGGTAACTTTATGAGAATATAGAATTAAGTACAGGTTGATTTTTCAAAAAATATTAGCGTTCATGAACTTTCGATGCTGTCATATATTGTCCATGTTCAAGATAACGAAGGACATGTTGAATACTGATTAATCAATTAATTAGGTTCCAAGGTGAACTTCTTAAGGACTGTACTATTAGCTATGTGTGTGTTTATAAATAATAATATATATATAGATAGATAGATAGTTCGATAGACAGATAGACAACATATATAAATAACATAACACTTTTCTTTTTCAACCTTTCATACAAGTTCAAGTGTAAAATGCCTTGTGGTTTTGACTGATACGCGCATTCACACACATACATGTTTAAAAACTGGGACCTCAAATAATAGGCATTTTATCCAACAGAAAGCAAGGATATACTTTTACTAATTATCATTCTAGAACATTTCCTGAAAAAAAATCTACATCTTTAGACTATTAATCATGAGATCTTAAATTGAATACATTATTTCAATATCCATTTTAGCTTTCAAAAGTCGTTCATATTACACTTATATTTTCAAATAAATTACAGTTAACTGTTATAAGCTTAAAGAACCCAATACAGCGCAAACATCCGTCTCACGCGCTATTAAACATCAAGATCAAGATTACGTAATTAACAAAAATCGACACTGAATATGACGTAACGTCAATTTGCTCGACTCGTGCATGGGTGAACAAATGATCGTGTATTAAATTATTTTAAATCATTACGTTCAACTTTAGCTAGGACTAAAGAAAAGCTATTCGTAAACACGTGCACATACACTAAGAAAAGCATTAGCTGATGATTTTATCATGGATGTAAATTAAGAGAAGTTGTTATTTTAAAGTTTAACGATTGGATAAACACTCAGTACCTTAGTGAAGGTTGCTGCTTTTCCGACGGTAGGACTCCTGACTGTAAACTGCAGTTGTTGGACGTAAGTTGGAACTTTATCAAGATTTTCCAAAAGATCTTTTTTCTGTGGTCCACCAGGAACCTGGAATGATAGGTGGCGTTGAAATTTTTTAGATTGGTTATGTTTAAAATGTTTTTCTCTAGTTGTTTCTATTTTAGTAAATTAATTATGAAGAACAACTTTCAAGAATAAAATAAACCAGGAGATAGCTTTTATGAAAATCTACCTATCTGTCTTCCTATTTTCAGGAGTGGATTACAATTCTATGGTAATAACTACGTTTATTTTTGCTTAAACAGTTAATTTTGTATTGATGTGTAATATATCTAAGCAGTAGTATTCTCCTTCTTAACTATGGTAGTTTGAAGTAATGTATAGATAGTGAACAGTGTAACTTTTCTTCGACACGAGTTTTAGTGTATGTACATGTATAAAACGTTTAGGTATTTTCTTATAGTTTTTAAATAGTGCTTATCGATAATTTGTGATCAAAACAAGCTTCTTGAATAAATTGGAACTAAAAATTAACCCATAAACTAGTATATCGGCCGGCCTACCTAGGAGTCGTACAAAATGTTGTGAAACAACCTTTTATAGCACATAGAATGCATTACTTCATTAACTGGGTACTCTCGCTCTTATCGACATTTTGGGTCGTAATCCCACAATAGTTCACAAGCTCCGTCCAACTTAAGAGATTAGGGAAGTCTTAAGTCCATATACCAAGCATAAAATGCAAAATTAGTTAGTGTATTGTTTATAGATCTCCAGATTTTAAACAGATTGGATAGCCCTGAATAAAACCAAAATATTTATTTTTAGTACCTGATAGGAGAACTGACGTATGTCCTTATACAACTTATTGGCTTCCTCAGCAAATATTTCAGCTTGAGTGAAGAGATCCTGGAATGATTAAAAATGTAACGAATAAACGAATATGAAAACGAAATAAAAATTATAATTACATTCTGAATAGCTGGTGTGCTTGAGCTCATTCTATTACATAGTCATTTTCATAACGCTTATCATCGATTTAATTTTAAGATATAAATTTACGATATACATCTCACATTAGCAAAACCACTTAAAATAAAAGTAAAAACATCGCACATAAAAACAATTATCATTGCAAAACCTTAAATAGGCTACGTTTATGTTCATTTGAAGTAAGTTTTTCAGCTTGTTAACTTTTAAATGTTTTGAAAGTAATCAGACATAGAGAGCTTCAACTAAATATTTTACAGTATTTTGTGTAGAATTAAGGAATGTGATTAGTACTAAGAACTCGACTCGCAATCTGAGGGGCGCGGGTTCGAGTCCCCGTTCTACCAAACATGCTCGCCCTTTCAGCCGTGGGGGCGTTATAATGTGTCGGTCAATTCCACTATTCGTTGGTAGCCCAAGAGTTGGCGATAGGTGGTGATGACTAGCTGCCTTCCCTCTAGTCTTACACTGCTAAATTAGGGACGGCTAGCGCAGATAACCCTCGTGTAGCTTTGCGCAAAATTCAAAACAAACAAACAAAAAATCTACATACAATAAAACTTGCGTCCTAAAAATGACTTCTGAGGGTTGCTTTCATTTCTGTCCCTTTTACAAAACACCGATTATTTAAATCGTTGGTGTACCAAATCATTTGAGAATCAAACGAGTTCGTAAAAACAAAATATCAAATTGATTTTCAGATGGTCTGTACCCCGCACGCGCTTCAAGAAAACCATGTACCACGTTTATGGCTTTCCTAGAGCAATATCTCGGAAAAAGAATCACATAAATCTACAAAAATCCTTAATGGTAGTTATGTTGTTTTTGTTAAGTTAAGAAATATACGATTTATGGCTATCCTCAGCCGTTGTCTAGCACTCTGGTTCGCAGTAAACATGCTCACTTGTGTTGTTTTCAGTTCGCCTTCTCCCCTCGTGAACTGGTAAGCTGAGAAAGCCATTTGGGACATCCCTCGCGCCCTCCGGACGATATCACTGTCATTTTCTCCCGTAAGGTGCTTCTCAGTTTCTGCGTCCATTTCCGAAGTCAGGTTTTTCATCTCCAAGCCAACTTTTTCAATTTTTTCTTTTTCCTTTACACATAAAATTGAGTAAAAATCACAGTTTGCCAACATAAAACTCGAAATATACAACCTGGAACAAGTAACTAACATAATGATATTAAATGTAGCAATACTACCTGACAAATGTTAATATTTAAGGAAAACTAAATACCCTTTTCAAATAACTAACATAATGGCATCAAATGTAACAATACTACCTAACAAATGGGGTATTTAGTTTTCCTTAAATATTAACATTTGTCAGGTAGTATTGTTACATTTGATGTCATTATGTTAGCTATTTGTGAAGGGTATTTAGTTTTCCTTAAATATTAACATTTGTTAGATAGTATTGTTACATTTGATATCATTGTCTTAGTTATTTGTAAAGGGTATTTAGTTTTCCTTAAATATTAAAGTTTTATTATATATCTTATTATAAAAATTGACCAATGTGAATATATAACATGTAATACGACGTTTGTCACCTTATTATTGTACCAACACAGAGATAAATATATATATCACGTGATTTAGTGTGTTTTTCCTTCCTTCCTGTAGTGGTTATTCGTAATTTATTATATATGTTCAGTAGAATCTGCGTTTCGCAACACTGTTTATTGTACGTATTTTCTTCCTGGGATTTAGGCTTAGCTGTCTAAAGTAGAATCTTTTTCTTGTGATTTAGTTTTGACTTCCAGAAACAGAATTTACTGAATATTTATTATGATAGTTTGTATCAATATTTATTTTGATGAATAGGCATTTCTGTTTGAAAATAATAAATGAGTTTCTTAATATATATCATATGGTTTAGTAGAACAAAAACGTACTGTTGAAATTGATTATTAAAATATAATTCCTTAACTCCTGTATTTATGATCCATTAGTATTAACTTGCAATATATTGGTTTTACATTATTATTAAATTTGTCAGCGCTCCTTACAGAGAAGAGTTAATACTAGATTATCATTATTAGTTACATAAAATTGCAGGGAAATATAAGCAGTGTTTAACTTTGTGGTATACTCTGAGTGTAGCCTTACTCATCTATCCCTTTACAAACTTGAATGTTTTTGGTTTCATTGAAACCAATGTAGTTTTTCATTAACGTGTTACCATTAATTCTACATTTATCATTCGGCAATGTATTCCTTCAATCAACAAGCCAAATAACTACCATTGGTCAACAAATTGACAATTTTATCAAAACACCTGCTATTATGCTCCTTAAACCCATACTGTCACGTTTAGTTTCATGTTTGGAACATCTGTTATGGTGCTTTTTAAACGATTTAGTTTCTGTTTTGAACACCTGTTATGGTGCTGCTTGAACTCATACTGTCACGTTTAGTTTCATTTTTGGTGCTTTTTACACCACGCTGTACACACCCAGTTTCATGATTTAAATATCTGTTACGATGATTCTTAAATCCATTCGATAATGTCCAGTTTCATGTTCTGATTATCTGTTATGATACAGTCTTTCTAGTAGCTGTTAGTTGAGAAGAACAGAAAACCTATACCTTCGGTAGTGTTTAGTCATGTGAAATAAAAAATATAAAACATGTAATAGTCTTTAGTCACGAATAAAAGAGAATAAAAAAAACCTCCAGTAGCGTTTAGTTGCGAATAATAGAAAATATTGTTGTAAGCTCCAAGGAGCGGTTGTTGACTTGCTAGAGGAAGCTGCGGTACGTTGATGATAACACTAAATTCAAGAAGTTAGGTTAGGCTTAGAACTTTTAGAAAACTCCAAGGATGTGATCTAAAGTCTTGTTCTAAGGATATGACATAAAGTTCTAGTAGAGTGGAAAACCACCAAAAATATTTGTTGAATGGAAAATTTGATGTAATGTTTTATTTTTATTTCGGGATTGTACAAGGTAATTCACAATCCATGAAGGGGCAATGTGGTAAGGTATATTTGTTGTAAGTTTGTTAGCTAAAGTGAGTTGCAGATCGTTGATGATAACATTAAGTTAAGGAAGTTAAGATAGGCTTAGAACTTCTAGAAAGTTCTAAAGGTGTAATATAAAGTATTTTTATAAAGATGTAATGTTTTGTTTGTTAGTAAGCACAAAGCGAGCCAATGGATTATCTGTGTTGATTTCACCATGAGTATTGAAACCAAGTTTTTAGCGTTATAAGTCTTCAAAGTTACCGCTGAGGGATTGTCACGTAAAGTTCTATTATATTTAAATGTAAATTATCTAACGACGTTCCCATGAATTTTTACCTAGAGTTGAGTTAAAGTTAAACACAAAGTGAGCTAACGTTTCATGGATGAATTTGTGTTATCTATCGTGGTATTTTGTTCAAGGAAGTTAGTTTTTATGTTGTGTAGTACACTTAGAGTGGTTGAAAACGTAGGTCTACAAGTTACAACAGCGTTCTAGTTTGTAATAAAGTTAAAAGAAGAAATAAATTAAATTATTTTCGTTTAAGTGAACTATTGTTGAATTATTTTTACCTGATAATTCAAAAGAAACAGTTAACGGGAGAGCAACGTCACAACAATATTTGAATATTAGTTAGTTATGAAATATATAAAATAAAATATCTCGAGTAGCATTTAGTCACGAAGAATAAAATATAATATTTCTAATTTCGTTTTACAAATACATTTTTAATTTGAAAAATACGTATAGATATGACTAGATTATGTCTTTGTCATTCGTGGATTCATTTTTCTTCACTGAAATTACACGTTTTAGAGAGGAAGAAAAATTATCAATTAATGTGTTTTGCTGTCTTTTTACTGTTAATAATTTCACAAGTATAGACTCTAATTTTGTTTCCAACATTATCAAATGTTGTTTAGAAAGGGGGAAAAAAGAGAACAAGAAAATGTTATAAGTTATGTATTCCACAAGTTTAGTGTGTGTGTGTGTCAATATGAAAGATACATTCGACAATTACTTCCCCATGTGGGTTACTTTGTGTTTAACAAATTTGACCCTATTAAATTAATCAATAAATAGAATATTAAAACATATGTTGTACCTCCACTTCTACCTTTACAGGTTTAGTCGGTTTGGTGATGGAGACTTGCTTCTGGAAAAAACAATAACCAATGAACATTCACGTCACGATCAGAGAGTGTTAAAACAACCAATAAACATTCATGTCGCGAGCATAGAGCTAAAAACAACCAATAATCATTCATGTCGCGAGCGGAGAGTTAAAAACAACCAATAAACATTTATGTCACGAGCAGAGAGTGTTAAAAACAACCAATAAACATTCACGTCACGAGCAAAGAGTGCTAAATCTTTAATTTTTACTTCATATTTCTCATTGATTTATAAAGTTGGATTATAATGTTTTGGCTTTGGAAATATCTTATGTAGCTTTCTTACTTACATAATGGAATCTTATTTACGAAACCCACCAAATAACGACAAAAATATAGTCTAATTTTATAATCTACACTCGGTTCACTACATTAGTTGATATTTAACTTTGTCTCTTTTTAAATCTTCCATTAATTCTATAGCAAATAGAATTCAAATACCAGTTCAAATAGCAAAAATTTCAAAGGTTGAAACTAGTATCTTGAAGTACTCAGATAGTACTTCAAAGGATGAACATTAAAACATAGAAACTAGTATTTTGAAATACTTATATTCCAATATACAAAGTTAAGATGGTAATAGTTAAAGTAAAAGTTTACAGTTTTGAATATTTCACCATGTCAACTTTTACACTGAATCCTGACGTATCTAAATATCTGTACAAAACACCAGAACAGTGAACTAGAAACGTAAACATCTATAGGTTCTGCTTCATATTTATATCAAAGTTATAAAGGTCGTTTAAGTATTAAAACGTTTCAAAAAGATGTTCGTGTATCGAGTTCGCAGTTTTGTCAGTTAAGTAAGTCCGCAGAAACGTTCAAAAAACGGGTTAACAATTGTGTTGGTTAAGTGTATCTGTGTCGTTCAAATAAGTCTGCGCATTCGTTTAATTCTACTGAGTTAACAGTTCTGTTTGTTCAGTATATGCACATGGTTGAAAAGTGTTCAAAGTTAAGTAGACTCCAGGAACAAAATACTATTTTGCCGGGTCGCCAGTTCTTCTGATTTATAATAAAAGTTAATTCAAGTAAATAAGTTCTTAGAATTAACTAGATCTATGCAAAGTTTAACACTTGTGTTGGTTAATTAAGTCTGCATAAACGTCCAAATAATTAGTTAAAATTGTGTTGATCAAGTAAGTCTAAACAAATAC